CACCCCCCCCCCCCCCCCCCCCCCCCCAAACTGGGATTGTTGCCACTAGGCCAGGGTCCGGAAAATTATTCCTCAGCAAATACGTTTTGACCCGTGATCCAGAAAGTAAGTGCAGTGTGGAGCTGCCCCTGGCCCTGCTTGGGGCTTCAAGGCCTTCCATCTGGGCCTGTGACAATGGACATTCAGCAAGGAGAGAAGGGTTTAATTTGCTTTCCAAGGGCCCAGCCCAGTTTCTGACCTCCACTGAGCCAGTGAATCCAGCGCATGAGCATTCGACACCTGGGATGTGTGGGGTGCTTGTGTTGCTGACATTGGCTTGTTCTTGCAGGTGGCCATGGGCTATTCACACTCCTTGGTGATAGCACGAGACGAGAGCGAGGCTGAGAAAGAGAAGCTCAAGCGGCTGCCCGAGTACACCCCACGTACCCTCTGAGGCAGGGTGGCACTCCCCTCGTGGCAGCTGTCATTTACACGTGCACTGGGACCAGAAGTCAGACAAGGAATTTAGGAAGCAAAAGTTGACTGACGATGCATTGGGTCAGCCTCTCTGCGGTTCCGTTTCCAAGCAGTTCAACATTAACTACCTTTTTCTGTATGCTTTCCAAAGTGTTTCCCTCAGTGTTTGATTAAAACATCTGCTCATAGCCAGCTTGCCATTCTACGAGACAGGCAGGAACTCAGAGCAATTTAGGCTTTTTATATATATATAAGTTGTATTTCTTTTCTCCCCTCCTGAGTATCCTTGTCCAGCCCTACCATTCCAGCCATAATTAGCATTGTGATCCGAGTGGGTGCCACGTGGGAGAGGAATTGCCACTTTCCCAGATAGAAACGGCCCTTCCAGGAACCAGCAGCCTCTAGGCCATGAAATCCCCAGTGCTCGGTCTCCACCCAGCTCCCGCCTTCCCGCTTTGGGAGACCTGGTTACTTGCTTGTGGGCCCTCCTGCCCCTCACCTCCACCCAATAGCTGTTTGCTGGCTTGCTGTCTGCAAGGCCCACTGCCTTTTGGCTGAAGCATTTGTAGAACCAGCCATTTCCCCCCTGGTGGGGGAACTGGGGTCTCTGTGTTTAGCCATTTATATCTACTTTAGCTCTCGCGTCCAAATGAGAATTGGGGACCATGGGATATGGGGGTGGGCAAGGTGGGGACCCTTTGTGTTGTTGAAGGGCCTGGTTTATGGCTCCCTGTGGAGCCCAGACTGTGTTTCCCAGTTAGAGATCAGCCAGCAGTCAAGTGTGTGTTCAGTCCTCTGTGACCTGTCGGCTCCTGCTGGCCCCTCTGCCTGGGGTGGCACCTTGTTCTGAGACTTAGCCATTCTTCTGCTGGCCCCAGTGCTCTTTGGCGCTTGCATTTGCTTGGCTCTGGTACCAAATAGTTGGGATTTCTGATGAAATCCCCTGCCCCGCGTGTCAGCGCAGATGCTGTGACTGCCACCCACATCCCCACAAGTGCCCTCTTCCCGAGCCCGTCCTGGTATTGACTTTGCGGCTGAGTTCCAAGGTGCCTTTCCTGGATCCTGAGTGTGGTGGCAGCTCGGGCTGGGCCCCTGGTTCCCAGAGGGTCTGGGTTGTGTCGGCTGCTTTAACTAGGTTTAGTTCCGTGGTGCTCTGGGGGAGTCGGGGAGAACTGAAGTGTGAGGCTGGGTGGATGAGAAAGTTAATTCTGGTCTTCAAATTTATGGCTTCGCTTCTGGTGTTGTGACGCTTGTTACTGTCTCTATGTTAAAATGCCAAAAATGATGTAGTCGCTGCTTCCTTCCCGCCCCAGTGCTCTACAGCAGCTTCTGGCTTTGCAAGGTGTGTTTGTCTCGGCCAGCGCCATGGCCTGGCGGGAACGGATCCGAGTTCCCACTGTCTCCCATCTCGTGTCCAGCCATAGTCAGTCCAGGGACAAGCTTCTTCAGTGGCAGTGCTCCCGCAAAACTAACCTGCTTTGTCCTGGTCACCCCAGATGCCACCCCTCGCCTCCACGTGCTGCCCGAGCCTTCCCTGCTCTCTGGCTAGTGCTGCTCAGTGTCTGCTCCTCTGTCCTGGAGTCGTGTGGTCACCCAGAGGGCTGCGGATGCAATAGCCCTGAGCTGAGCTGGGCTCTTCTTCCAGGGAGCAAACCATAGCCAGCAGTCAACGCGTGGGTATTGCGGTGCTGGGGCTGAGCAGAAAGACCTGGGGAGAGATCCTTGAGTCCAGCCACAACCCCTTCCTTTAGGCTAAAATGTCCACCTGAGCTTTTCCACTGGGAAACACCTTTAGAACAGGGACAGTGGGAAGTCCTGGGCGGGAGCCACTCTGGCCGCCCGTGGACTCCTGAAGTCTTCCAGTCACCGATGAGAGGGTAGCAGGAAGGGAACAAGCGAGGATGGTGTGATTTGGTTGAAGGTGCCTGGTTTAGTGCTGTTAATTGTCTTTTTTTTATATATATATTTCTTGGAGTAAACATTTTAAATAAACGGCATCATTGTTTACTCTGCCTCGGCTCTTGTGTTTCCTCTTCAGTAGTGTGGACTGCACCCTCAGCACTGTGCATGCCCCATAAGAGTGTCCAGAGAGGGCTGGAGAGATGACTGTTCTTCCAGAAGTCCTGAGTTCAATTCCCAGCAACCATACGGTGGCTCACAAACATCCGTAATGAGATCTGGTGCCCTATTCTAGCCTGCAGGAATACATGCAGGCAGAACACTGTATACATAATGTATATATTTTTTAAAAAGTGTCCAAAGAGGGTGAAAGTAGCCCCTAAAGAGCTTCTGGGCCATCCTGGACTAGAGGGGTACAGAGAGCCCTGACCATCCCTAAGAAATGATGGACGGCCAAAGGCCAGCATGTTGACAGCTGTCAGAGGCTTCCTTAGTGGGAATGTCCACGGAGGTGCCCCAGGACACATGTCCCAGCTCGAGATGGGTACAACAAGGTCTCATGTAGCTCAGGCTTGCTTCCTGCTTCCAGCATATGTGAGGTGTCAGCCCTTGGTTAATGGGAGCATACTGGGCATGAAGGTGACTAGCTGTTGATGTTCATGGGGTCTGGTGTGTTGAATGTGGGTTTGGTTTTTGGTGGGTAACGGTGTCACTACGTAGCTTCCTCTGGCCTGAATTTTGTGTGTACACAAGGCTGGCCATGAACTCAGGTCTACCTGCCTCTGCTTTCTAAGTGCTGGGAGTAAAGGTGTGTGTACCACACTCACTTAAATGTTGACCTAAGATGTTTTTGACGCTGCCTTTTTTAGATTTTGGTGCTGGGGAATCAAACCTGGATGAGCAAGCAGTCTCAGCAAAGTTTTATCCACCCCAGTCCTGTGGGGTCTATGAGAAGGGAACCCCACATTAAGAACAAGAGATCTAAGGCTATCTGGCTGCTTCAGTTTGACCAGTTACCCACCAGGGGGCGCTGAGGTCAGCCTTTTGTCTCCCACCACAGGAACTGAGCTTGAACCGAGGTCCCTGAGGGCTACTGCACATCCTGGCTGTCATTTCCTGCAACACACACCAGCAGTCTTGAGGTTGAGGAAATGAGGTGTAGTCACGTGACACACTTGGTCACAGGGAGCCTCTGCTGAAAGGCTGTAGTCATCTTCCCCCACACCCCTCCAGGAACGGCCTCTGGGAAGCTCGCTGCAGAGCTGGAGACCTTACCCTGACCAGGCCTGGTCCATGCTGACGGCTAGTGGAGAAGCCTCCCTAGTTCTCTCATGTTACTGGAGCTCCTTGGGACGAGGACAAAGGGATCCCAGATGACCTGCCATCACACCCTTGCCCCATTAGGGACCCTGGTTCCCTGTGACTACAGTGTGGGAGAGTTCTAAGGAGCAGCCTTGTCCAGGCACTAGTCAGGGACAACAGCTGCAGAGCCCAGACTCGGTTTAGGAGCCAGGTCAGCAGAGACGGGCAGAGCAAGCATTGACAGTAAGCAAAGCTTAAAATTTTACGTGTTTTGCCTTCATGTGTGTGTGCATCGTGTGCTGTGTAGCGAGCGCCTCAGAGGCCAGAAGACGGAGCCCCTGGAACTAGAATTACAGTCATCAGTCGCCATGTGTGTGCTGAGGCTGGGTCCCCTGGAAGAGCAGCCAGTGCTCTAACCCACACACCTCCAGCTCCTCCCTAGCCGTCTCCGGGAAAGCAGGAGTCCCTTGGTGCACCTAAGAAGTGGTGCTAGGCCTGTCGTTTCGCTGCAGAGAGCTTGTGCAACACGCCAGAGCACTGTTTGGTTTGTGAGAGTTACTCTGTAGCAGCCCTGGCTGTCCTGGAGCTAGCCTCCAACTCAGGGATCCACCTGCCTCTGCCTCCCGTTGTTCCGCTCTGTAGTAGGTCCTAGGGACCAAACTTGAGGTTTACCTTCTGAGCCATCTCATCAGCCCTCGGTCATTTTTGACTATGTAGGGAGTTCAAGGCTGGGCTGGGCAACATGAGACCCTGTCTCAAAAAAAAAAAAAAAAAAAAAAAAGCTTTAGGGGTAGACAGGATTATCAGCCCTCAGTTTTCTCATCCACACCACCCTCAAGTTGGGCGATAGAGCCCCAAGTTGTAGATGTACCATGGGACCATGGGGGGGCTTTATGTTCAGAGCAGTCAGGTTTGGGGATTATCTTCCCAGCCAGACAAGTCTTAGCACTGGCCTCATTCTAGGGTCTTCTCGCCAGCCTGAGTCCTCCCCAGTGTGTGGGTGACTAGGGGCTGCATCCAGCCCAAGTGGAGCAAGCTCCCTTAGCAGCCCAGCCCTCTCCTCCAAACGCAGGCAGCTTCTGAAGCTGCATCCAGAACCTGTTTTATTTGCTCTGCGGTTACTATCTAAAGCTCCCTCTCTCCACATTTCCCTTTCCCTCCAGAGCCATCAAGCTGGTAGATCCGAGGGGCCCTACCCTAACTCTCCAGCCTTTCCTTCAACCTACTGCACCAGGAATTACATGCCATTACTGCTTTTTTTATTGCTTTATGTATGGTAAAGACCATTCACTCCGGGGTGTGGGGGAGATCTGGCAGCTTTGGGACCCAGGGCTTAGGGGCTCATCTTCCACCACTTGTAGGCAAACGGCACCCGGCGGGTAATAATACAGGCACGGTCATCTCCAATGTTGGTCAGGTAGCAGTCAAAGTCTTCAATGAAGGTGCACTTGAGACCCAGGGGCTCCAGTAAGTCGCAGACTCTCTGTTCCAGGCAACAGGTGCCCTTGATTTTGGGCCCAAAAGGCTTGGGGATTCCTAGATTCTTGTCCAATACAACCATCTGCAGCTGTTAAGATAGAACTAGGGTCAGGCAGGGCCAGGACCCAGAAATAAAAGCTATCCCTACCTCTTCTGGGGGGTGGGTGGGTGAGTGGGGGGCATAGATTTTATTTATTTATTTATTATACAATATTCTGTCTGTGTATGCCCGCAGGCCAGAAGAGGGCACGAGACCCCATTACAGATGGTGAGCCACCATGTGCTTGCTGGGAATTGAACTCAGAGGACCTTTGGTTCACCAGAGCAGGCAATGGTCTTAACCTCTGAGCCATCTCTCCAGCCCAGGGGCATAGATTTTGATATAGGGAAAAACCACATATCCCTCCTCTTAGGGTTGACCAAACTTAAGCCTGTGTCCATGAGGGCATCTCTAATCAATCTCAGTGAAATCAATCTAACTTTTGCTTAGTTGTGCAGTGCCTGCCAATGTTTCTCTGAAAAACACAGAATTCCCTCTGACTAGCCCCTAACCTTGATGGGCTTACCTATTTGCCTCTGGATTTGTTGCTCTGACCCTGTCTGTGAACCCTATCCCAGGCAGCTTTACGACCCCAGAGGCTCCAGTAATCCAGAGTTTTCCCACCACACCTAGCTTTGTTCCTTGATATCCTTCTTAACCCACGCATAGCAGCTTTGGTACAAGGCACGTGAATCTGGGGGCTACACCACGCTCTCATTTCAGGCCATAACCATCTGATATAATCCAGCACCGTGGCCACCAGCAGAACGGGCTGGGTTTGAACAGCCATGCCCAGCAGCCCTCACCATGTCAGGGAAGAATGGCCTCGCAAAGAGTTTTGTGGTCTGCTGGTTGGAGGGGACGTTGGTCAGCAGCTCCAGGCAGAAGAGCTGTGGGATGGTAATGATGTCCTTCTCCACCAGGCCCAGCTCCTTCTTTAGGAGGGTGCGGTTCAGGCTGATGCATTTCTGCAGCACAGGGAAGGCAGGGGAAACAGCAGGAACTTCAGCATTATCAGGAAGGAGCTCTGCTTGATGCCGCACAGATCCAGAGGAGGATCTGGCTCAAATCCCGTGAGCCAGGAACCCTGTCGGCCACCCGAGCCTTTCCCTAACACGTAGTATAGCATAAAGTGAACTGAGAATTCAGAAAAGGCCAGGGTCCCTCAACTCATCTTTGCTGGGTGGCCACCAGTGTCAAAGCCTCCTGCAGGTGAGCAGGGTTGGGAGCACAGGAGCACAGTGGGAGTTGTGGGAAGCATACAGAACTCTCAGGTCCTTCCCTCAGATCTAAGCAGCCACTCCTGCCTACTCAACACACCCTCCCCTTGGGCACATCCTTGCTGATGCCAACACCCTTGGTATCCAACTTCAACTTCAGCTTGAAATAAGATCAAGCCACCTGTCCTAGGCCCATCTGGTACCCACCCTGCGAGGACAGGTAGTCCTCACTGGTTCTACAGAAGCCACGGCACCAGTGCACCGTGGCATAGTATGTTCTTGGTCTGAGTAGTAAGGGCCTAGTGAACAGAGCATCCCAGTGCACCCCCGAAGTCTATATCTGGGCCTGCAGTTGCCTGCAACCCCCCCAGGAACATCATGGCCTCCCCCCAAGCCCTGCAGTGCCAGCACCTTGGGGACAATCCTGCACCCCAGGCTTTTACCTCTACATATTCATTCTGCTTTCGCAAGTTCTGATCAGCCAGGATTTGGGAGATGGTTTTGGCCTCCCTCCCTGTGGAAAGACAGACCAGGCAGGGACAGATCAATGCCCAGCATGACCCAGCCAGTGGGGCATCCTCAGACCACTGACTGCATCGTCAGCCTCAGGTACTACACCTGGGTCTAGTATCTTACATCTGATGCCAACTAAGATACACAGCACCAGAAAACCCAGGCAGGATTTACTGCCACTGGCTCAAGGGAAAGTAAGCTCAGTGCATTAGTGTGGAGTCATCAGCCCCGCCTCAACTCAGGGCACCTCAACCCTCTGTGTGCTCACCCCTCCCCCCCACGTGTATACCAGGAGGCTTCTAGCGGTGGTCATCAGGCCCGAACTCCCTTCAGGTTCCAGCCCAGAGGTGACACATGACCTCTCACACAAGGTGTCCCTGGACCCTACCACAGAACGTTACTTAGGACAGGGGTGGTACCCCGAGTCTCTAATCCAGGCCGAGAAAATGTCCTGATGCCCCCACCTCTTTATTGGAGAGGTCAGTCCCTTTGCGTTCCCCTCACACATTGAGGTCAGAAGATGGCCTGGGGCACACCTCTGTCGGTTCCCTTGA